TATGGAGTCACTGAACTTGTGTTTTATGGCACTAGTGTTATGATTATAGAAGAAAGTCAAACAGAAACTGGAATTATTGAGGATATTTGTGAACAAAAGTGAATTTCCACCTGAACTTTTAATCAATATTGTGTAATATGAAACAGAGCAGTGATTCATTAGAGTACTGAGTTTCACTGAGGGGCAAATATCGTCCTAAGTGAATGATTATATTTTTGCAGCCTGCTTCCTGTTGGTTGCTCCCTGCCCCCAGCGTTAGCTCCGTTATATAAACCCCCCCCACCTGCCTGCGGAGCTTTGTCAGTATCGTCTCAACCCACTGAAGACAGCCAAGATGGTGAGTGGTTTAAAAAAACTTCATTCATAGGACATTTCTTTATTTTCTACATGGATAAATATCTGGATTCAGTTTTTTTTAATCTTGGTTATGATGTTAAGCAAAGTTCAAGGTTCAGTTTGATCAATTAATGATTTAATATGAAATACTTATGATCTAACTTCATTATTTAATCTAAGTACAAAGATATATTCTGTGGCCGACATCTTGTGGTCCAATAGGCTGTGTGCTTGTACTTAAACTATTTAAACATATATTCATATATTTCAGATTTGCAGGTTGAACATTAGTAAAGGTCGAATAGGTTTATTCCTAAGAGGTTTATGCTTTGCAGTCATTAACGCTGATTTTAAGGCCTGTTTGCTTTAACACCTTTTTAATCTTTTTTTTGTTCACAATATTAAAAAAGAAATTCTCACCTGTCACATGATTTGATGAAGGTGAATTATGAGCAAGGAATCTAACATCCCTATTATCTCTAACCCCACAGGAAAACTTTGTTCTCATGTTCTTTGCTAAATGACTTCCTTAAAATCTAAATCTAAATTCTCCCATGGTAAAATAAAAACAGGTATTGTAAAGTGTCTGATCGTACTGGAGGAACAGAAGAGCAGCATTGTTGTGTTTGGATGTTTCACAGCTTCTAAATACATTAAAATGGCTCAAATCCTCCATCGGGATCAATAAAGAGTAACTCAACTTAATTATTCTCCAACAGTTTGTCCTGTCAATGATGAACTATTAGCGATCACAGGTGTGGCACTGGGTCCTATCTGGTGTCTGCAGTACGTCCCTGTGTGGGCGTCGCTTTATGGTTTTACTGTCTCCACATGACGACCACATGTCGAAGGACAGATACGGCTCCTTCCTGTTTTAAACTATGTCCTGGTTGATAATCAACCAGACAGATAAGAACACGTATGATAATCACTTCTTCGGTGCCCTGTGCAAACAGTCATTAAGAATTGTGGTATAATCGTCCTATAAATGACATCGAGAAGTGTTTTAAAAAACTCAACGTGACAAATTAAACTTGTCGTTAAAAGGTAAATTCTTCCTCTTTGCACTTCAAAAACAAAATAGCCTGATTTTAAAGTTAATAATTCAGTTATTTAACCTTTTCGCTTCCCAGATTGATGATCTGATCCAAACTTTAGATGCACTCAAATAAAACCCTAGAAAACTCATTGTGTTACTTTAAATCTATTAAAAATGTAATTTTAAGACTCTTCCATCCCCAGAATCATTTCCCACACTCTTTTATTTCTCTTTACAGAAAGTCACGGACATGACGTTCAAGGAGGGGCAGGAGTTCAAGATCCGCGTCAAACCCCAGGACGACTGCGTCTGGTAATTTCTCCTCATTCTATCAAAAGCCGAGACAGGAAATCTTTGACTCTGCAGCCGTTATCTTTGGTTCATGAGGTTCAGCTTTCAGATAGAATAACAATTAATGAAGATGAAGTTGACAAAGGGAACTGTGGCTCCGCAGGTTAATGTTTCGTACATTTGTTCCTGCTTCGTTGCTCTTTTGACCTCTACGTCCCTTCCTCCACCGCAGCTTCTCCATCAACATCGGTCACGACTCCGATAACATCGCAATGCACCTCAATCCCCGTTTTGACTACGGCGGCGACACCAACACCATCGTCTTCAACACCCTGTCCGGAGGCAGCTGGGGTGACGAGCTCCGCGAGGGAAACTTCCCCTTCTCACGTGGAGAGGAATGCAAGGTGGGTCAGGAGAGTGTCGGGGGTTATATGCAATCTCAAAATGCTTTGAAGTGCGATGAAAGAACCAGGATCGTTGGAAAATGTCTGGAAAATCGGGTCTTGATATTTTCAGGAGTTTGTCTTTCACATGAAGAGCGCAGCAGGACATTGAGGGTCGGGGTAGAACTTGACTCTGCAGTTACTAAGCGACACTGTGCCTGAAAATGTTCCTCTGCAAAAGGATTTTAGATTTTCTTCATCATCATCATTTCACATCAGAATGTCTCAAATGTCACTTAGCCAAACTTTAAAGCCATATCTGCTGATATCAAATGAAAACTCTCACCATCCACTGATTTGTGCGACTTAAAGCCTAAAACTAATTTCACAAAAATGTTCTGTACATGTTTGTAATGATCCACATCACTTTCCCCTGCACCTACAATATCCAGAGTCATAACTCTTCAAGAATTAAATTGCATTCCTTCGGTTTCGTCATTGTTTCGACAACACAGGCTTAAAGCTGCTTTTGGGTGCGATGATAACAGAGAACTGCAGTACTTGAAATATTGTTTTGTGGACAGTTGTAAGTATTTTGGTGTATTTGTACAGTCATTTGGCTCAGGCTTAAACATAATTATATCTCTGTAAATATTAACAATCATGATGGAGTTTAGAGGCTCATGAAAGTTTTTATTGCTTCACTCGTTCTTTTTAAACATGTTTGACTTTTTACTGTGCAACAACTGGAACATGAATTGTGTGCTTTGTCTCTTGTCTCTCGTCCGTCAGTTTCACGTCAACTTCAACAATGAGCAGTTTTACATCAAGCTTCCCGACGGCTCCATGATCAACTTCCCCAACCGCCTGGGAGACGTCAAGTACAAGTACTTTGACGTCAGCGGCGATGCGAGGATCATCGGCATCAAGATCAAGTAGAGATCAGCCTCGTCTTGACCTCTGACTCCTGACCTGTCCTGTCCTCCACATTCTGCTGGTTGAAATAATCTGTTTAACATCACTGAGCCCATTCATGTTGTTGAGTCATTTGGAAATATATCGAAATTTAGAGAGATGATGGAAAGATGATGTTGTAATAAGAGGAAGTGGCCTGTAGACGGAGCCACATCTTAATGAACTGTGAATGTCTGACCTCTCCTCATTCTGTAGGTTTATCTGTAAAAGCTGTGAAACAAGAAAAGCATCTTCTTTGTCTCTGTCGCAGGACTTGTTTAAATCTTTACTGACGATTCACGTGTTCACTTTACTTTCACGAAGAGCTAATATTATCTAAGGTATTTTCATTCAGAGCAGAGGTGTTGAGGGAAGAGGTATTAATGATATTTAATAAAGCTTAATCTATCTTTTCATCAATAAAGGCACATGTGCACAAAAAATATCCATCCATCAATTATCTTTAACCTTTTTCCTTTGTCGGTCGCACGGACACTGGAGCTAATCTCAGCTGACATTGGGCGAGAGGTATGTAGACATGTATCGAGAAACAAGCTATCACACTTACATTCACACATACGTCCACTTTAGAGTTTGCAGGTTGCACAAACACACACAGAGAGAGAACATGCATACAAAATTTGATGCAAATAAAAAAGGAGGAAGAAATATGAAAAAAACGCTTGTGAACGTGGCCTCAGCCGGACTGTCGGTAAATAACGAGCTGATTATAGACGACGGAACAGGTTAATGAACAAAGACAGATGATATACGACGGTGGTGACACATGCTTACTGAGACAATTTACAGGAGGACTCAAAAGAGCCGTGGCTCGAGGTTGAGGAATGTGGCACGATGCAACTACATTCCCTGGAGGGATGATGAAATATACATTTGTGTGTGTGTGTGTGTGGACGGCAGATAAGAAAGTAAAGGAAACAATTGAAGCAGTCTTTTAATTCTATTGTCCAACTTTTACAATTATTTCATGGGAAATGCCAAAAACTATTCATAAGTTGTACAAATGACATCATCAGTCACACCACAAGTTTCTGGTTTTCATAACGTTTACATTAAGTGCTACTACACATCACAGGTGTCTCACAAATATGACATTTTTTTAGTTTTGTACAAAAAGTTTAATATTTACTTTGCGACTAAATGTCCTGCAGGGGCGTGGTCACAGCTGAACAGGGATCGGCCCTGCTCGACCCCACAGACTGACCTTTCTGGGCCAGGTAGTCTTTATAGTTCCGGGTCAGAAGAGTGTAGAGAAATGGATTTATACAGCTGTTCCCGTAGGTCAGACACGTGACGAAGAAATTCACGTAATTATGAGCAGCTGGAGACAAAGCTCGGAGAGACTCTGCAGAGAACAGTTTGGCCAGCTGCCATCCCCAGAAAGGTAAGAAACAGGCCCAGTAAGCCGCCACGATGCTGAAGATCATCGATACCACTTTTTGTTTGAGGCCTTTCCTCCGAGAGGAGCGGTTGCTTCCTCCCAAGCTAGCCTGTGCGGCCCAGTAGCGCCGAGCTAACCCGACGTACAACCCAACGATAACCAATCCAGGCACCAAAACACTTGTGCAGAAGAGGACGGTGATATAAGCCTTGAAGGCCTCAGGAGTCCAGGTGGGGAAGCAGATCCTCTTAACCGAACCTGCTGCGCTGGGTTTGCCCTCGCTGAGTCGGATCATCACCATCATGGGAAGCGTCAGCACAAAGGCCAAACCCCAGATAATTCCCGCCGTTAGCCTTCGTTTGCGGGACGAGTACCTGTGCGCGCTGAAGGGCCTGGCCACAGCACGGTAACGCTCCAGGCTCATGGCGACCAGAGTGAAGACGCTGGCGTGCATGGTGAGGAGATCAAGACTGAGCAGGATGCGACAGCCCGCATCGCCGAACAGCCAGTCGTGGACAAAGTAGGTGCAGACTACGAAGGGGATGGTGGAGAGGTAGAGCAGGTCGGCCAGAGCCAGGTTCACGATGTAAACGTACATGGAGCCCGTTCGGCGCAGAGCAGCTGAGCGTGTGATGATGAGCGTGTACGTGTTGCCTGCCACACCCATGACGCACATGATTATCAGCGTGGCACCAAGCAGGGACGTCGCCCAAAGCCTCCCGCTGCCTCCGGCAACGCTACCACTGTCCTGGGATCCTCCATCTGTGGCCTCTGGGATCAGGACGAGTTCCAGCTGCGGAGTGACGGTGGTGTTAGGGGTGCAGTTCATTGCAGGTCAAAGGTCAAAGGTCAGGGTCCAATGATGAAGAGCCAGCAGAGTTTTTTTGATTGTTGGCTCCTGGAATCTGAAAGAGGTTTAAAGTCTGTACAAGCATTTCAAGATGTGAGGTTGTTTTTCGCAAATATATCACAAAGTAGAAAAAGCAAAGATTTCCTTTGTTAGAATCCAAGAGAAAACGTACAGATGTGCAGGGATCTGCAGACAGAGTACCGTCCACAAAACTGCCCGTGTCTTGAAGCACTTATCCCCAAAAAATAGGTCCTCCACACGCTCATGATCCCATACGTCTGCAGCGATAAAGCCTCCAGCAGAGATTCAAGTCATCAACGTGTGAGATGTCCTCGGTTACAGAGAGAGCACGAGGTTTTCTCTGTTGGACTTCGGGCTGTAGCAGATCTGAAAAGGGTCATTTGTTAGCGGCGCGATGGCACCGGGAGTCAGGACTCTGACTTTCAACTGGACAAACTGTTCAAAGTCTCTCATGATGAGCTCCTGCGGTGCTTGAAAGGACTTCGGCTACTGACGTCCCCAGAGAGTCTCACAGGGATGAAACATTCGGCCATTTTAACACGACGGGCAAAAACAACCTCAGCATGGTGTCTTGAGTAAATGGCAAATATTTCTTTAACCTCTTGTCTTCATGGGACAGATTTTGAGCGAATCAACAGCTGTGATCATCAAAATCCATCTTGTCCTCTGTCCTCACTCAAATCATCCACGATGCTTCCCTGCAGCTCGTCTGTACACGTCAGTGAATCCACAGTCGGAGTTGGGTTTCTCCAGCCACCACTCAGCTCCTGGGTCTTTGACAGAAGACCGTCCTGTCTGTGTTCTTTGTGTTTTCTGGTCGCTGTCCTCTCTGCCTCCTCTCTTCTCTCCTCCGTCCTACCTCTTTCTCACCAGGGTGAAAAACTAGCAAGGGCCTATAGATTTATGAGGTATTCCTCTCGGGCCTCATCCCAACGTCTCTGAGCACCAAGGTGTAGTTTTAGACACCAGACGAAATCATTGACTGAAGCCTCACAAGTACACACACAAGCACTTATTTAGTAATTTAAGTTTGGTGATGAATAAACCTACTCTGTGTGAACTATATATCTTCATTCATTTGATATTTGTCTCTTTAACTGGTGGAATTAAGTTTAAAAAATAACTTAGTCCAGTGAAATGAACAGAAATGAATTAATAAATGAAAAATATTTGATCAATGATTAAATCCACAACTGAGCACAATGAGTGAAATTTAGTGGATATTTCTGAATCCAAATTTCTACTGAAATGTACTTGTTTTATATTTGTCTCTTTAGTTTGTGGTATAATCAGTTTTCATTTCAAGTTGGCAGCACATTCTTCTTTTGGTTGAGAGTACAGAGAAAAGTTTTTATCTCTGTGATTTTAATTTGAGGAGGATGATAATGAGGACGAGTGTTTTAAAAAAAAATTGAGTTCTGCAAAATTAACATAAATGAATCAAAACTTTTTTTACTCACGCTCAATAATTTCATGTGTGATGTCAGTCAGTCATGGCCAAGCACAGAAATGCCTTTAAAGTGATGTGGCACCAAATCACTCGTTGTTTGATATCTATAAAAACACAGTAAAATAACTTACTAGACTTGTGTGCTGTCTGCCACATGGGGGCGCTGTTACACCATCTACTGGCTGGGGAGTTTATCCCACAAATCTGACTGAAGGAGGTGAGAGCGTCTTCAACTGAATCAAGAATCAGAATCAAGATTTGGAGGAAAACACAAAAACCATAACGGTCATGTTGGATTCATGATGTAAACTTTACTGTAGTGTGTCAGAAGGAATCAGTTTACGTAACAACACAAACTATTTTTCACTTTATGGATTGAAACAGTATTTGTGTTAAGTGT